CGGAACGTGCTGCAGTTTGGCATGCGGCCGGGCGCGCTGGCCGAGCCGCCGCAGGCAGGCATCGATCGCGTCAGCTCTCGTCAGGCTCTCGTCTCGTCAACGGCCCGCTCCCGCACCGAAGTGCTGCTGAGCTGGGGGTGACGCCGAACGCGCGCCACCGAGAGCTATACCTGGGCGTGGTGACGACTGCTCGGCACTTGCCACCGAGAGCTATGCCTGGACGTGCTAACGGCTGCGTGGCTACTGTCACCGAGAGCTATACCTGGGCATGGTGACGACTGCTCGGCACTTGCCAACGAGAGCTATGCCTGGGCGTGGTGACGACTGCTCGGCACTTGCCAGCCGAGAGCTATACCTAGGCGTAATAACGACTGCGCGGCTATTGCCGTCGAGGGCCATGCCTGGGCGTAGTAACGACTGTGCGGCTATTGGCACCGAGAGCTAGAGCCAAAGTACTCATGCAGTCATGTTGTGATTCGTAGACAGGTATAGCAGCGTTGTCTGCTGGTAGAATGTGTGGTGGGTTTCTACTGATACACGATTTGCCTATGCGACGAGTGAACGGAAATTGATTTGATCATATGTTGTGTATCAAACAATGATCTTTTATTTCTGTTGGCCTGGATAAGCGTGCTGTCACCATGTCTACTAGAAAATATTACTTTTTAATATTTAACACAGCATCGATGACACTCCGTCATAGACCGTTCATCTCACATTCTCTTTCACTGAGAATTCAAACTCGCATTGGACGCTACAATGTATTGCCTGCGTTTCTTATATGGTCGGTGTAACTATAGTGTTAATCAGTGCACGTAGCTGAGCAGGACACGTAACTCACACGGCGCACGCCAACTATCGCTGTGCACAGTCGCGCTGGTGAGCAAGCACTTGAGGTGGGCCCCAGGGCGCCTGGAGCCAGCTTCGGCACGGGCGCCAAAGGGCCTGAAAAAAACACGCCCCTGGCCGGCCGTCCCACAGCACAAGGCGGATCTCATGCGAAGGGCATGTCTACACTTGTCATGAGTCCACCAAACTGATCACCGCTGCGTCCACATCCAGCCCGTATCTCCGTCCACATGCCATTCTCCACGCCGCCCGTCTCTCTCTCTCCCTCTCTCTCTCTGAGCCGAGTGCGCTCACAACTGTTACGCTCACAGCTTGCCAACGCGTCTGAACGGTACAAAGCTCACGCCCGTCACAACGTCTCCGCCCCTGGCCGGGCCGTACAGAGTTCATGCCCCGTCACAAGGTCCCCACCCCTGGCCGCGCACCCGTCGCGCACCATAGCGTAGGCTCCATCTCAGAGCACGCGGCGCCCGTAAACTGTACAACGTGTGGGCCCGTTAAATGCTACTCGCACGTCCTAAGCTGGTGGAGCACACTTCTGCGCACGCTTGGAGCCCCATCAATACGTCTTATGCACTGTCAACTGCCCACGCTTAGGCAAACAAAGTTGCGAGTGCCACCAGAGCCACTGATGTTGAAAGGCCACCGTGACCCTAAACCTACGGTAGCGCCTAAGGTCGAATATCAACGGTGCGTATAGGGTGCGGGGTGTCTGCAAATTCACTTTACTCAGACTTTCTTCATAACGTTCTGGTTTAGCACCACATGGTCAGCATCCAACTATTACTAAATTTGCCATGCACAGTTTTCAGCAGCGTCAAACATCGGCCATCAGCATTCTGCGTCCTGCATCGGCTATGCAGCATCTTGAGCGAAACACGCCGGATAAACGTCTGGAAAACTCTTGAGAGCCCCAGGACCCCGTCTGAGAACCCCAAGACCACGTCTGAGAGCCCAGGGACCTCGTCGAAGAACCCCAGGACCCCGTTTGAGAACCCCAGGATCTCGTCTGAGAACCCCAGGATCCCGCCTGAGAACCCCAGGATCCCGTCTGAGAACCCCGGGTCCCCCGCAGGCGTACGTACTACAGGTGGGCTTGAGAGTGACGTGCTTCACCGGCGCCGTGGTGCAGCCCGCTTCATGGACGATCGCGACCTTCAGCTCCCCTGCTGTGCGACAATTGCTGACAAACACCCGACGTGCAGCCGATCGATGACGTAGCAACTGGCCACTTCGCTCCTGAAGACGTGAGAGGTGAAGCCGCCACCACTAACCACAGGCGCTGCATCAACACTGCGCTGAGGGCCTTCAGGGCAGAGGATGGCCTAGGACATGACCTCCGCCGGGATCGGGAGTGACTGCAGCGGAACGTGCAACGCCTCACACCGCTCACGGGCTCACTCCACTGACTACCAGCCCATTTCTGTGCCGCCGCATCCTGCCACGAGGCGAGCATCCCATGGACTCCAACTCACCAGATCTCCGTCTAGCTGTTTGTTTTTGGTTGAGATCAGCTCAGCGATCGAGTGGTACATGCCAAAACACCTATTACACCAGCGGAGCTGAGGGCATGGGTGTTCGTCCGAGGGGCCGCGTCACTGCGTCCAGACGGTGGGTGGCACCCTCACCCGCCTGCAGGAGGTCCGACTGCCCGCCGTCCTGTGGTGCCCAGGCGCGCATCTACAGCATGCTGAGAACAGTATCCTGCTGAGGGATGGCCTGAGGGCCGACGGTCGACACTGTTGATAATTGTGTGATGGCAACGTATGGTGGGTCAAAGGAAGACCTGCATGTTAATCATGCGATGCATAACACAACAGTTATTGTAAGAAGTATGGATGCAGTATTTGTAGACACCCTGTATACTCTTAGATCATCAATAAGCATAGACGCAGCGCCGAAAGCAAAGGGTGCTTCATGATGACGAAACGCTTCTAAGCGCTTGCACATGCTTCACCAAAGGCCTTAGCAGAGCACCGGCTCCTGGTACCGACACTGTGCTCCGAAGCAGCACCGGCCCCTGGTATCAACACTGTGCTCCAAAGCAGCACCGGCCCCTGGTATCGACACTGTGCTCCGGAGCAGCACCAGCTCCTGGTATCAACACTGTGCTACGGAGCAGCACCGGTCCCTGGTGTCGACACTGTGCTCCGGAGCAGCACCGGCCCCTGGTATCGACACTGTGCTCCGGAGCAGCAGCGGCCCCTGGTATTGACACTGTGCTCTGGAGCAACACCGGCCCCTGGTATCAACACTGTGCTCCGGAGCAGCACCGGCCCCTGGCATCGACACTGCTGCGGAGCAACACCAGCCCCTAGTATCGACACTGTGCTCCGGAGAAGCACCGGCCCCTGGTATCGACACTGCCCCGGAACAGCACCAGCTCCTGGTATTGACACTGCGCTCCGAAGCAGCACCGGCCCCTGGTATCGACACTGGTCCGGAGCAGCACGAGCTCCTGGTACCGTTAATGTGCTTCGCGGCGGTACTCTTGCAATGCCGCTCATTTTGACATGAAGGTCTCAATGAAAGGTCTCAATGAAAAATTGAAATGTTTGGAGTTATTGTTTAAGATCAATTTGCAGGGTTTCTCATACTTTTTCATCATCTTTCCCTCCTAGTGATAATTTTGCCTAAGCACAATGTCAAGGGACGGAGACGGCTGAATTGAGAATAGGTGTTATAGTTTCAGTCCTGCGTAAGTGAACAAGCCACGCTTCGGTGAAACCTAAGCAGGAAAGACGCATTTCTTCTAACGTGAAACTATTAGTTCAGCATTTTTAGGGTTCCCGTATCAGGACCTCGGTATCAGAAATTGCAAAAGTAGTTTCCTTGAAAAGGGCCACACTACCAGTGCTGCTACAGGCCAGGGAGCTTGTTCAAATTTGTCCCTAGTAATCTTCAGACGGGCCTGCGGTGGAAACCTTGCGCAGGCGTGCGTTTTGTAGCTCCTTTTTTGTTACACTATATGAGTAGAATTGGGTACTTATGTGAAGAAATATTTTGATAGTCAGATTCCTTACAATGCATGTTAAGCGAAAATTAATGAACTGAGATGATGCGCGGGCCTGCGGCAAACGCCACCGAACCTCAACATTAGACACGCGCACTGTATATACCCCACTCCTGCTCTCAGCAGACCGCTAGCATCTGTTCAAACTTGCTCCTAAACACCTCTTCCTTGAGGATAGCCTTGTTCCCATTTTTCTCAGGTGTGGTGGCGTAACCGGTACAGTACCACACGTAACCGATACAGTACCAGACGCTCGCCAATCGCTCACAAACGTTTTTCCTTTTTTCTGTTTCATGACAAGCCCACCAAAAGCATTAGATTAGTAGAAACGGCGCTGCTTAAAAATGGAAAAATAACTATCGCAATCCCCCTAGTTTTTGCTTCCTGGAACGCCCTAGACAACATGGGTAACACTCTGCGATAAATTTAAGATCGGAATGCTCTCTCCCGAAAAACTTAGGGCCCTTCTATTTCCGGTCCTCCATCATGCTCATTCATTGGGCGTGTACCAGGACGTGATATTTGCAAGCAGTTTGACTTAGACGCCGATTGTTAAATGAGGCTAAGGAAGTGCTCAGGAGTGTCCTAAGTGTGATTCCTGAAGCGGCAATGCACAAAAGCAAGACATGCGATGTTACACCAACCCCGTGTCAATGGCGGCCTGTCTCAGCCCATCGTATACCAGTGTGTCGCGTCATGCCTCCCGTAAACCTGCGACACGCCTGCGGCACACCTGCGACGTGCCTGTGACGTGCCTGCGACGTGCCTGCGACGTGCCTGCGACACACCTGCGAAGTGCCTGCGACACGCCTGCGACGTGCCTGTGTCTTGACTCCGCAATGTCAGCGACAGCCTCGGCCACGGGTGGTCATGCTGACCGCCGGCAGGTGGCTGGGAGCCATCGGCAATCCCGCACCGCTGGAAAGGGTCGGGGTGGGAGGGGTCTCTGGGGCCGGCCCAGGTCAGCGGGCCACCCTCAGCACCGCACCCGACCGGCGCAGCTCGACCACACGCCGGATTTCATCGCAGGTCGCTGCTCAGGGATAGTGCTACTGCCAGCAGCGCCAGAGTCCGCGAGCCACCAGCATCAGCTGGTGCACCTCAACACACGTCCGCCTCACAGCAATCATGGTGCCCGTTAGAAGTCGGGCCAGCGCTGCAGCAGCAGCAGCAGCACCAGTGGTGCCAGGTTAGTCCCGACCGGCGGTGGCGCACCACTGGCCGGGGGGAAGCAGTCGGGGTGCAGGAGGCAGAGCGTGACCACGCCGCGGCCTTGGCGGCCGTGGTACTGCAGTCGGTCCGGGCTCACCGGCGGCGTGTCCCGCCAGGCGTAAATGACGTGCACAGGCTGACCCTGCCGGACACACAGAGGTCAGACGGTGCACAGGCTGATCGCCGGGCACACAGGTCAGATGATGCACAAACCATGGCGGACAACATTGCTTCTAAAAATAAGGAGGGTTCGCCTGGACAAAGCGGGTGAGGAAAAGACGAGAGAGAGAGAGAGAGAGAGAAGAGAGAGAGAGTAGAGAGAGAGAAAGAGAGAGAGTAGAGATATAGAGAGCGAGAGATCGGGGAGAGGGGAGAGATAGAGGACGCTCTAGAAGATCTAAGAGAGAAAAGCTCTATCTCTCAGGAGAGAGAAGAGAGAGAGGGAGAGAGAGAGAGAGCTAGAGAGAGTGATTCTGGCAGAGAGGAGAGAGAGCAGAGAGAGAGGAGAGAGAGGAGAAGGAGAAGAAGAGAGGAGAGAAGATGGAAGAGAGAGAGAGAGAGGAAAGAGATAAAGAGGAGAGAGAAAGGAGAAGAAGAGAGAGAGAGAGAGAGAGAGAGAATGAGTGAAAGAAAAATGAGAACTTCAAGGAGACCACATAACTGACGGGCGAACGACTGGGAGGTAGAGACAAATCTGGTACTCGGACGAAAAGAATGAGATTTCCGGCATTGTTTCGTGTGAGGAGGCTCTTGGTTTGGTTTATGACACACTGATGTCTGCTGAGGGACCGGCCCGGCGGCGGCGGCGGCGAGCAGCGATGCTACCTACTCGGACAAAAGAAAAGACAGATCTGTGGTCAGCGGTGAAGGAGTCTGTCGAGTGCAGTGCGTGTTTTGAGCGGCGGCTAGGACACGATGGCAGGCAGGATGGTCTGCTCTAACAACCCCGCCGTATGAACAGCGATTGCTGGCACGAGGTGCCGACTTCGTATTTGCATGTCGATGAGAAGGCCGACGGGGAGGGGGGGAGGGGGGGGGGGCGACCAAACCGTCGGGCTCGGGGCTCGGGCTCTGTATGTCGCTGGTGACGTCAAACCTCAGCAGGGTTGAACGGGCGCGTTTACGTGACTAGTGTGGCATCAAGAAAGTCTGTTGCAATGAAAAGGGATGCATAGGCAAGGGCGTCGAGATACTCTCCGAAATAAGCACCTCCTATGCACGGCAACCGAACACAATCTCACAGAAGTCTTTGAGTAACAACCTACCGCAGTGCCGAAGGAGTCTTTGAATAACAATCGAACACAACGCCCACACAGAATGACTATGCCTTCGACCGCCAGAGGGAGCTCAGACCAGCGGCGCACTGCCAGGCGGACCAACCCCGCTGGCTGGGCCCGGCCAGACCGACGGCCACGCGCGGAGACGTCCCGGCACCGACGGCCAGCCAGGGGCTCGTTCTGGCCATTTCTAGACGGGCCGAAGAGGCAGCACCACTCCATCCGGTGCAGGCAACGTGTGGCAGCGATGACGCCGCTTCTAGAGGAGCCGGGGCTGCAGAACAAAGCCGCCTCCCGCTTAAATACGAGCGTCGAGGTACATCCTTTTGATCCATTGAGTGTTCTCCTCTGCCAGCAGTTTTCCAATTACGTTATAATAATTTTACAGAATGTTGGCGTTGGCATGGGCCCATGGGATGCGGTTACGTAAGAGGCGGGCTTTTACTCGCGAGCATGGCAATCTAAAAGTGAAAACGCAAGAGTGAAGTCAAATAAATGCACTATTTTGGTTGCCCATAATTTGTTGGCGTTTGGAAAGCACTTCATAAAATAAGGACTGTATAGCTATCGCGGCAAAACAACACCTTTTAAGTGGTGTGGATAGGCTACAGTTCCTTAAGTGTATCACTTCAAAAGATTCTATGAGGCGTCAACAGCAGCGGCGGAAGCTTGACGCCCGCCTGCGGCCAGGGCCTGTGCTGAGGGGTGTGTCTGCAACAATCCACTGGCATTGCACACTACGTGCCGCGTGTCGCCGCCGGCCGACGTGGAGCGCCGCCACATCTGCTAAAACCCTCTGGTAGGCAACACAATCGGGTTACATGACCGCGGAGCGGCATTCGTGTCTACCTTTCAGAGGCAGGGGAAAGGAGGTGAGGGAAATAAGTCTGTTTTCATCTTCTTGCATACATTATAGTTCAATCGGTGTATTCGCGTTAAACACGCCAGCGTGGCTTTTGCAACCTTGTTGTTTTCGTTCAAGATTGAAAATGATGAAAAAACGAATGATTGCATGCCTTACACTCTGCGAACGAGTCTACGTCTGAGCATACCTGCGCTTGCTTACACATCATTCAGTTTGAAAAATAATTTCGCTTCAGATGATTTTGGGCATTCACAACATGTTGAACATGGCATAGGCTGAGGGAAACAACCGCATATCTCCAAAACAAGACATGACTGTCGCTCGGCCAAAGATGTTTACAGGTTTTGAAAAATCGACAACAAGCAGGAGAAATGTCTTGTTGACACAATTATGGCGGTAGAACCGAACGGCGATTTTTTAAAGAACGACTTCACTTCTGTTGACCGATTAACGGTCATGCTCTACCGTTCTAACATGGCATAATGGTCACGAGGATATCCAACCAGCCAGCCGGGTATGCATTCACTGAGCTTTCTTAGCTTCTCCGAATCTTGGTCTGATCTTTTTCATGAATTTGACCAGACATTGGATCGGTCGCGTGGTTTGATCTAGGCGATAGCGGTCGTAGCTCAATAAGTGAACCCATTATGTTATCCCAGCCATCACGAATAGGCTGAGTCCATTCATCCAACAACCGTAACAAAGTTGACCTTTTCACACGCTTGGCATGAATTGACTCCGCACACATACCAACGTGAAATACTGGGTCAAAATCAGCCGACGTGATTTTCAATTGCCCATGAATGCGACAGAAGTCCGCATTAGTAAGACGCTCTGGCAGGGCGAGAGTCAAAATCGTTTGGTACCTGTTGAGTCTTTGATGCATCTCGTGTCATTAGGCGGTTAATTTGCAGTGTTTAATTCAGCTCCAACCAAATCATTTGGTCCTTTTGGTGCCGCCTTATCCCATTGATGATTTATCCACGACTCACATACTGACCAACAGATACCCCAAAACGTCCCCTAGAAGTGTGCGGTCTGGGTTCGCCACAGTGTCCGCGCCCTACTTCGCATGAGAACGGCCGTCCCTACATCACATGTGAGCAGCTGTCCCTACATCACATGTGAGCAGCTGTCCCTGCATCACATGTGGACAGCCGTCCCTACATCACATGTGAGCAGCTGTCCCTACATCACATGTGGACAGCCGTCCCTACATCACATGTGAGCAGCTGTCCCTACATCACATGTGAGCAGCTGTCCCTACATCACATGTGAGCAGCTGTCCCTGCATCACATGTGGATAGCCGTCCCTACATCACATGTGAGCAGCTGTCCCTACATCACATGTGGACAGCCGTCCCTACATCACATGTGAGCAGCTGTCCCTACATCACATGTGGATAGCCGTCCCTACATCACATGTGAGCAGCTGTCCCTACATCACATGTGGACAGCCGTCCCTACATCACATGTGAGCAGCTGTCCCTACATCACATGTGAGCAGCTGTCCCTACATCACATGTGAGCAGCTGTCCCTACATCACATGTGAGCAGCTGTCCCTACATCACATGTGGACAGCCGTCCCTACATCACATGTGAGCAGCTGTCCCTACATCACATGTGAGCAGCTGTCCCTACATCACATGTGAGCAGCTGTCCCTACATCACATGTGGACAGCCGTCCCTACATCACATGTGAGCAGCTGTCCCTACATCACATGTGAGCAGCTGTCCCTACATCACATGTGAGCAGCTGTCCCTACATCACATGTGGACAGCCGTCCCTACATCACATGTGAGCAGCTGTCCCCACACCGCATGTGGACGGCCGTCCCCAGATCGCATGTGGACATCCGTCTTCACTTCGCATGTGGGCGGCCGTCTCCCACATGGCATGTGGATAGTCGCCTCCACACCGCATCGTCTCCACATCGCACTTTGAACAGCAGGGCAGGGCGATCGATCTGAACAGCTGAAGCGGGGCGATCAAGACAGGAAAGACGCAATCTCGCTGCTCCCGCCCATCTGCAGTACCTCTCAGTTGATTACTAATGCCATGGATGATGGTTCAGCCACATACCGTCTTTGCCTTCTAAAGCCGTGGTAAAATAGTAAAAGATGACGTGGTGAGCTAATCCAGAGGGCGAGACAAAACTGAACCCGAGCGGATATCGACAGACATTGGGGACACAAAGAGCGACAGCGAAGGAGGCGCGGGCGAAGGGAGAGAAAAAGAATGCGAGAGCACGAAGGCGAGAGAGTGAAGCGGGAGCGAAGGAAGCACGAATGAGAGAACGAGAAGAGAATGACAGAAACGGCGGGGAAAGGGGTGAGTAAGCAGGCGAGAGAGCAAGAGGAAGAGAGTGACAGAGCGCGAGAGCAAGGAGGCAGTGAAGCGTGGGAGCGAGCAGGCGATGAAAACGGGGGAGCCAGAGAGTGAGAGCGCGTAAAGCGAGGGAGCGAGAGAGTGAGGGGGTAAGAGGGCGGGAGGAGGACAGAGCGGCGGGCCAGCGCTCGTCGGGAGCAGCTGGCGCCGCTGGTCGATATGGCGGCAAAATCGGTCCGGTCGGCGCGCCGCCCGGCCCCGATCGCTGCTGCGGATTAGAGCGGACCGCCGGCCGGCCGCGGCGCTGCCAAGTTCGCGCCCGAGCCGCGCCAAGGGGCGGGAAGTCACGCCCGCTCGACCGATCCCGGGGGAGCGCACCCAGACTGGAGGAGGGAGGGCAGCGAGACCGGAGGTGGGAGGGGAGGGCGGCGAGACCGGAGGTGGGAGGGTGGCGAGACCGGAGGTGGGAGGGGAGGGCGGCGAGACCGGAGGTGGGAGGACAGCGAGATCAGAGGAGGGAGGGCGGCGAGACCAGAGGAGAGAGGGCGGCGAGATCAGAGGAGGAAGGGGCGGCGAGATCAGAGGAGGAAGGGCGGCGAGACCAGGGATGGGAGGGCGGCGAGACTAGAGGAAGGAGGGCAGCGAGACCAGAGGGGGAGGGCAGCAAGAC